GTCAAGCAATGGGAATGTAGATTTGTGATGTACAGTTGAGGCAGGAGAATCCCGAGCGCGCTGTTGGCACAGGAAATGTGAGCACATCTAGTTCTGCTGGCCCCATGCCAAGCTAGATTATGTAGCTCCCTGTGCACTCCATGTAAAACACCCGTGATCACCATAGTCAAAGCTGGCGTTTTGGAAAAACAGAGGACGCCAAATGTATTTGTTTAATTAAAGCAAATCCATTCAGGTGAAAGGTGTCAGGAGGTGAATACACAGATTTCAATGCAGGTATAAAGTATATACCTACAGTCTTACTTAAAGACATCCTGTGCCCAACTTAAAGCAGAACTCCATGCAAACCCTGGAGCCTCTCTCCCCCTATGCTGTAGCGGTCCAAGGTCCCCGAGTCATCACATTCTATACACTGTGTATAGGACATGCAGACACTGGGGAACATACCACCGCTGCAGCAGGGGAAGAGACAGGCTGGAGGGATCGATGCAACTCCGTCCGACTGCGAGATTCAGGGAAGTATAACTTTTTTATTTTTGCATCTAGACACAAAATGATTTTAAAAAATGACAATTATTTGAAGCGTATCCAAGCCCAAGAAAATAAATGTCATATTGCAGCTGACCAATCCTTGGTAGGGATGAGTTCTGGCTCAGACTGAACCTGAGCTCCTATGAACGTGAAGGGAAGCTCCTTCCACTGTCGTCCAATCAGCTGCGGACAGGGATGTCCCCGCCCCCAGCTGCATGTTAACAAAGAGGCGGGATGCTGTGAGGTCTCTGATCTTAAATGGTCACCAGACTGTATTTGGTCAACGATATTGACCCAATATGGCCATATAAAGGTCAATGATGTCAGCAAAATCATCCTGCCCCTTAATTAATGTGCAGCTGCCATGCGGGGAATGCCCCATCCTGCAGGTGGTTGGGCGGGTGGCCCCATAGCACTTTAGGGTTAGGAGAAGCTCATCCCAAATCCTTAGACAGGGAGGCTGCATTAGTTTTCTTTATTTTCCCCTAGTGGTCCTGCCAGCAACACACATTCTGTCCTAGGGTGACTCAAAGTACAGTATCTGTGGAGCAGAAGCAATGTCACCCTGGGACAAGAGGTGTTGAGTCTACAAAACACCTCCCCCTCTTATCACCATAACAAGGGGAGGTGTTCTGTAGTCCACACAGAGAGACAAGAATAACGTATCTGATAAAGGGTCCAGCAGAGAGCGCAGGAAGTTATCAGCTGATTTGGATTTCGGACAGGATTATTACGTATTGTTTTGTAGTTCTAAAAACAGTTCTAAGAAAACACTTTCAACAGGTGTATTTATCAGACCCAAGGGCCCCGTCACACCATATCCAGTGTGTTCTGGTGCAGTTTGAGTCCGGAACGCACTGGATCGAATTCCTGCACCTTGCATTACGGTGCGGGCGATAGCCGATAGGGAGGGTATCTGCGGTGCCATTGATTGACACGCCCCCTCCCACCCGAGACCGCTGCCCAGGTTGATCCATGAGATCCAGTGCTTTGTGGGCTCGAACCGCCCCGGAAAGCACTAGGTATGGTGTGACTGGGCCCTTAAGGAAGCAAAGCAGAGAAGTTCACAGTTCAGGTTTACATACATATACGAGAGGAGAGAGAAAAATGGCACCACATTGCACCTAACATCACAACACGCGATGCGTGACTGCCTGCATTGCATAGATGTGAATGGAGTCTAAATCGCGCCAATGCAAAGGGGCTGCACGGTGCGCGGCCGCTACATCACTAAATTGCACTGAAAAAAGCGAATGACCCTTTTTTTTTTAAAGAATTGCATCACACCACAATACATGACAATAAAGCCAGGCACATGCTTCATGCCAAGCCATGCGGAGCAAAGCTGTGAGGAGCGGACGTTCACATGTAGTGCGCGAGCCAAGCGCGGCCAAATGAAAGACTTCATCTAAAGCCAATCGGCTCGTGTGTAACTGAATAGACTTTGCATCCCGATGCACGGGTTTATACAGGAAGATGACATTTTTCATCTCGGCACGCTCAGCTATGGGAGCTGACACGCCGGAGCGAAAAAAACAAGACAGTACGCGGGAAGGTCCGTAAGTTGCTGCTTCGCCTGTGGTGTGTTACGGACTGAAGTTACCATGTGTTGCAGTGTGATGCAACGCACATGCAATGGCAAAAATGGGTTGGAGTGCCACTTAGGCTAGGTTCATACTATGGCGACCCGTGACACCCACCCGGCAATAGTGCACAAAACGCCCACCACCGCCAATCGTGTTGGGACAGTGCCATTATTTTCTGATTGCACCCCAGTTGCGCTGGGCAGATTGCGCGGGATACCGCCCATGCAATTGAATGCGATCATGGCTTAATAAACATTTTTTTAAAAAGCCATGCATTCTGTGTCACAAACAAAAAGGTGTGTGTACCTTTTTCTCAGCGATTGCCATGCGGATGTAACCCCATTGAAATCAATGGGGCTGCGTGGCAACTGCTGTGTGCAATTGTGCATGATCGCGCGTCCTGGGATCGCCAATATCTGAACCTAGCCTAAAACAAAAACGCGATGTGGTGCGATATGAGAATACGTTCCACGCGTTCCTGTGTCACAGAGATGTGATGAGGGGCTTGTATCTGACAAGAGATACCAAGATGGAAGGACATGCCATGATCACATACACCCCAGCTCCATACACAGCGATCAGCAGCCGTTACAGGTGTATAGGGAACACTTGCCTGGCTTCTCTGGGACTCCACATTCAGGGCCTGTGCCCAGGCTGTGCTCCAGTTGTCTCCGGTGGAAGGGAACCGGCACAGTGATGTGAGAAGTGACCGGGCACCGGCCGATGGGGGTAATGGAGACCTCCGGGTCATCTGAACGAACCAGGCCAGGACCGTCAGCACCGACAGGGCGAAGATCATCAGCTGAGTGACGAAGCCCAGTGTCACCCCATCGGGGACCGAGGACTCGGGCGGCTGCTCGTTGTCCATCCCTCACCCCTCAGAGCCGATCCATCTACACTGCCGCTCCGTTCCCGGGATCTTCCTTCACAACATGTGTTCTAAACACACTGACGTCCTGACACAACCCTCCCACCGTGTGATGTAGACACATTTGTATCCGGTGTTGTGTCAGCGACCTGCCCACCACTGGAGGTCTCCATCATCCTCATCATCACTACTCATACATTGGAAGGGTTTCTTCTATGATAATATGTTCTACCGTATATCAGGAATAAATAATCTACACCAGCATCTGATCTATAAACCCCATTCACACCCAAGAGATGTGTCCACGTTTCCCAAAGTCCATAATAGAAGTCATCAGCACTCAATGATGTGTGCACGAAGTTAAGCACTTTTTAATATATTGTCACATTCGTCATACAGACAACGTTTCGAGGCCACGCAGGGTCCCTTCTCCTGGGCGACATAGTCACCTGCTATGTCGCCCAGTGTGGCCCCGAACGGACCCTGCGTGGCCCCGAAACGTTGGCTGTATGACCCATGTGACAATTTAATAAAAAGTGCTTAACTTCGTGCACACATCATCAAGTGCTGGTGACTTCTATTATGGACTGTATCTGACACGGCGCCATCCGTGTTGTCACTTCAAGCGCCAACCTTCCATCAAGATCTGTACGCTGTATGGAGTGCAGGTGATTTCGCATTATCGATCACATTTCCCAAAGCACGCCAACGCCCAAAATGAAGATATCCCATTTTATTTATTGGTCCTGTTCACACCCCTTTTTTAAGCCGTGGGGAAAAATTAAACACCAGAGCAAACGGAAAAGTGCATCTGAACGCGCACAAAAAAGTGCACTAACGTGTGTCAAATGGTGTGTCTCCGGAAGAGATATGGCCCTTTCTCTGACCCGCCCAGGGCACAAGGCTCCTGACAAGGGCAGGGCACTCAATGTCCACTTAGCTGAAGGCAGGCGGACCCATTCCTCTAGGTCAGCCGAAGCCAACCTCTGAGTACTAGGTTGGGGCTCCCCCAAAGGAGCCTGGGCTAAGTAGGAAACTAGTTTACCTGAGTGAGCCCAAGCCCGCTCAAAGCTGTGACTGCCACTCGCTCCTCTCAACTCAATCATTCCCAGAGATTTACCACCGCATATTCCCTGAAGCTATACATCACATGTGGGCAGGTAAATCCCCAATGGCAACTTCTGCCACTGATTGGGTCGGGGAAGGGGGGGGGGGGGAGAGGGGGTGGTCACAGTTTTGAGTGGTCTTAGGCAAACTGGGTTCACACCAAGCCCAGCCTGATCACTATTCACACCAGGGCATTGTGCTGCCACTTGTTATTATAGCTTTTTTCTTTAGGTAGATTTGTGAATATCCCACCGCAAACCTGACCGGTAAATCCTCTTGGTGGGTGCTGCTGGAACTAGCGGATGGCCGAGCATAGGCCAGCGTTTCTTAACCTTTTTTCAGTCACGGAACTTTTAAAAAATATGCAAAATCTTGAGGCACTCCACTTTAAATGCCGGGGAAGGAGCTATTCAAGCACAAACTGGAACTGGTAGTGCCACCTTGTGCTCTGCACCATTGTGTGGGTGACATTGTAGTCCAATACTTTTCCTCAAGTACTTGTCGATACCTTTGTTAAGCGTCACGTGTGAGTTTTTCTAAAACAATACAGACTAATAATTTTAGGACAGTGGAGGAGCACCAGATCCCTGTCAAAACTGCAACCGCTGCGAACCTGGTAGTTCTGCCACTGACTTCAAGCTGTAGAGACTACAAATCTCAGCAATATATTATACAGCAATGCAGAATACCATCAGCGATAGGGGACTACAAATCCCAGCAATCCATTATACAGCAATGCAGAATACCACGTTATAGAAGACTACAAATCCCAGCAGTACATTATATAGCAATGCAGAATACCACCAACAATAGAGGACTACAAATTTCAGCAATCCATTATGAAGCAATGCAGAATAATATGAAGCAACATAATTTGTTGCTCAGCAGGACTGCGGTGTCTCAGAAGGCTGTGCAGAGTCTGACTTGGACTGTGCGCTGTCCGACCAGGGCTGTAACGTGGTCTCAGGAGCCTGTGCGGGGTCGAGCCAAAGCTGTGCGCGGTCTTACCAGGGTTGTCTGTGGTCTTAGGAGGCTGTGCGGGATCTGACCAGGGCTGTTCAGGATCTCGCCAGGGCTGTGCAGGGTCTCAGAAGGATGTCTGGGATCTGACCAGGCATGTGCAGGGTCACAGGTGGATGTTCGGGGTCTTACCAGGGCTGTGTGCGGTCTTACCATGGCTGTGTGCGGTCTCACCAGGGCGGTGTGCGCTCTCACCAGGGCTGTGCGGTCTTACCAGGGCTGTGCGGTCTAACCAGGGCTGTGCGGTCTTACCAGGGCTGTGCGGTCTAACCAGGGCTGTGCGGTCTTACCAGGGCTGTGCGGTCTAACCAGGATTGTGTGCGGTCTCACCGCGGCTGTGTGCGGTCTCACCGGGGCTGTGTGTGGTCTCACCGGGGCTGCGTGTGCTCTCACCAGGGCTGAGTGTGCTCTCACCAGGGCTGTGCGGTCTTACCAGGGCTGTGCGGTCTAACCAGGATTGTGTGCGGTCTCACCGGGGCTGTGTGCGGTCTCACCGGGGCTGTGCGGTCTTACCAGGGCTGTGTGGGGTCATCACACAGATATCCTTTCAGTCTGATAGAAACAAATACTGTATGGGAACAGTTAAAAGTATTTCCACAAGAGGCAACAAGAAAAACAAAAGGCAGCCTTTCTATTTTCTTGTTTGCACTTGAGAAAATAATAGAAAAAAACTTTGGACTCCTCAGACATATTTTCGGAGCTTATTGTGGCTCAACTACACTTTAATGTGACATAGATTACATCAAAGACACCGTTCATGATGTATATGTATTTTTTTTCAGTGTGCCGAAACAACTTTATTTGTAAAGAGAAAGTCCAGCAATCATGTTCTATTACTTATAAAATGATCTGCACCAGAATAATATATCCACATACAGAACACAAAATATGCCTGCAACACATTGACACAGACAGGATTGTGCGAGGCAAAAATTAAATTATATGAACGTCATTTTAGCCTGCATAATATCTGGTGCTAGGCTACAGATTAAGATCACTGCTCTCTGTATGGAAGCAGTGGTCTCTCTGCTGCAGCTCAGAACACCGCTTGCTCAGACAGTTGGAAAGTAGTGTGGGCTTTGTTGATTGCAGAGCTGTACGTCTGACTTAACGGGGTATATCCAACCCTTGCAGAGAGACTACTACTTCCACAAGTGGTCCTTTTCTGCAGCCTAGAGCAGGGCACTGACTTGACACTGTTTAGCTGCACACTAAAGTTATAGAAACCATTTTCAGCTAGATTTTCAGTGGGATTTAAATGCATTAGTCAATGCAAAGTGTGTATTGCTCTATGGACTGTAGCACTGTCAACCCTTCTTATAACAGAAGGCATTCACATGTCTCATTCCTTCACATATCTGAAAAATAAGAGGATAACTCGTTTCAGGACAGTGGGCGGAGCCAGGCAAATCATTGCTTTGACTGTGGAAACTGGCAGTTAAAAGGGTAGGGTAAGACTCTGCACTCGTAGGAATGTTATACAAGATTAGGAAATGGGACATTCTATTTTTAGCTATAGGGCAGTCCAATCAAATCTGAGAAAATAAGGACACAAGTTCAAAGGACACCTGGAAGAACCAGAAGTCAAAGCCATGCTTTGTGAAGTACAGTACTAAAGCATGTTATACTAGGATCGCATATGAAAATGGAATTTTGAAGTGACACTAAAGTCATGCATTCAAGTACCTTATCTATTAACAAAAATGTATCTTATTTGTGTATCACTCGGCTGTAGATCCTCAAATCATCTCTGAATTGGTGCTGACACTGTCCTTCCTTCTGGAGCGTGGCTACTTTTGTTCTCCGTGGTCCCTGTGTGTATTGTAAAGTAGCCACCGCTCCAAGCTCACTCCAGGCATGGATTACAATCTTCATACAAATTAGTAAATTAAACATGAGATTGTAGTCCATCACGGTAGCGAGCTTGAAATGGTGACTACTTTACAACACACACAGGGACCATGGGGAACAATAGTAGCCACCCTCCAGAAGGAAGGACAGTGTCAGCACCAATTCAGAGATGATTGGAGGATCTACAGCTGAGTGATACACAAATAAGATACATTTGTAATAGTAGTTGAGGTACTTGAATGTTTTTTAAAGATTTAACTCCTGAGATTAAGCACACACATATAATATGTATTCATGAAATCTAAGAGCAAGGACGGCTGACTTGTTTTTGGCATTAGAAATGCACAACTAGATGTTTGCTGATACTAACTCTATATAAATCGGAATTAATTCACATAACTAATTAATCTTGGGGTAAAAGGTAAAGTCCACTTTTTAAAAAAAAGTTAAAAACTTAAAGTGACATTAAACCCTCAGATTTTTTAACATAAAACAATACTGTAATGTGCGCCTTACTGTAATCCATGGTAGTTTCCCTTCTCTTTGATGCTCTTCCTTTTAAATCTGTATCTGTTCTCATGCTTGGAGAGAACTTCCCTTTTCAGCAGACTGCCTTGTCTCAAACGGTGTCTGTGTATACGTTTCTATTGGCTGTAACCTGAGCCAGCACTACAGGAAGAGGCCCTGAGCTGAAAAGGGAAGTTCTCTCCAAGCATGAGAAAAGATACAGATTTAAAAGGAAGAGCATCAAAGAGAAGGGAAACAACCATGGATTACAGTAAGGCACACATTACAGTATTGTTTTATGTTAAAAAATCTGAGGGTTTAATGTCACTTTAAGCTCGCCATACACCTATAGATTATCTGCAGATTTTCTATGGCCAGATGGGAAAAGTGCAACAGATTCCTCCGTCTACGCTAAACTGTGTGGATGGAGGAATCTTCCACTGGGCCAAGCTTCAGTATCTTGCTAGTCGGCCCCACTGGCTGTCCAAATACCTGAACAATCAGACTGGATGCAGGCATTGTTCAGGTGTTTTTAGAGAGCCAGCGGGACTGACTAGCAAGATACTGAAGCTTTACCCAGCGTGAGATTCCTCCATCCACACAGTTTAGCGTAGATTGAGGAATCTGTTGCACTTTTTCCATCTGGCCATAGAAAATCTGCAGATAATCTATAGGTGTAAGGCCAGCTTAAGCCTTTAAACAGCTTCTAAACCTAAGCATTGACTACTGTTACCTATCGTTTTGCAGCCCTTTCTTTTGTTGTTATTACCTGTATGAAGCCCAATAAATGTACAGCATTGAGCAATTGTATATTTACTTTATAAATGAAAGCAGTACTGGTAGCCAGTATAAAAAAAATAGTAGGGGGGGGGGGCAATCATAGAAACCTTTGGGGAAGGTGGTCTAGTCTGAATAAAGCTTTGCCCTTTAGGGTAAATTTTGGCTTAAAGCTGAACTCCAGATAATAATTAATGTGCAAATTACATTGGTCTGGCTTGTCTCAATGTAAGTATGCATATGTCATATGTGATCTGCTCCTGGGGATCCTATAAAGCACCATAGTACCTGGAGGTAATACAGTGCTGACAGAGATCTGCCGAGTCCTGTATGTCACTGTGCTAAGTGGCTTTCCATCTGCTCTGAAAACACAGGGAATCACTGGCTTGGAACAGCGACCAGAGAACGCCTAGTATTTTTTATCAATAACCACAAGTCATTGTCTAATTGGATGAGGGACGCATTGTGATGTCACCACCTCTCATGCAATTGGAGAACACCTTGTATTAATTATTAAAAATGCTAAGCATTCTCTGAATGGCCGCTGTCCAGAGTAAATTCTCCGCAATGGGACACAGATGACAAAAAAAACCAAAAACGAACAGGGTGGAGCAAAAACACGTGTTCCTGGCTACATTTGGGGTGCCATTAGAAATTGTTGGTGAAAGTTATCTGGTGAAATTAGAACGTTTTGGTGAATGCGCACCAAACACACATAAAAACAGCCCTTTGCCACGCATTCATGGAAGGCGCAAGTGTGAATGTGGGCTATGAAGTCAGGACTGTCTCTGCCCGCACCTTCCTCTCCAGGGCCCTGATCTCCTCTATGCTGTGCGCCTCAAATAGAGCCCCCGGGTCCTGCATCTCAGTCAGCATGTCCGCGGAAGGCTGGGATGGGCCACCAATCCTGGCAGGCTGTGTGCGGGGGGCTCCAAGCCGGTCTACAGACAGGCCAGCGCAGGTTGTCATGGTTGTTTTAATCTGGTGGAGAGGGGCCATGTCCCCCACCTGGCCACAGGCCCTCTGGCAGTGTTTGAGAGCCCGAATAGTCAGTCTGCCCCAGCTCAAGGGGCAGCTGCTTTGGGCCCCACAAAGATAACTGGGCCTGGGGCAACTGTCCCTTTTGCTCCATGTTAAAGATGGCCCTGAAGTGCTTAGGCAAAAATGTAAACAAATACCCAGCTGGGCAATGTATATTTGATTGACCAGGATTTAAAATTGCTAAAATGTTTATTACCACGTGAACAAAAAATTGTGTTCCAGATCTAGGGACTGTGCTGGGGCTAGGGTGAGGATCTTTAACCTCTTGCCGTCCGCCCGTTAAGAAAAAACGGACGGAAGCATGCGGAATTTTAAGGCTTGACATGTTTGGTGTCTCTTTACCCGACGTGACCCCGTCTTTTATATTTTACCAAAAAATTTGGTAATAATAAATGTTTTAGAATTTAATATAGGGGGAACTGGTTTTTTTTTAAAAAAACATCTGTAGTTTTTCCTTAATATATTAAAAAATAAAAACCCCAGTGGTGATTAAATACCACCAAAATAAAGCTCTATGTGTCCCCAAAAAAGGGTATAAAATTCATTTCAGTACAGCGCTGCATGACGGAATAAATGTCAGTCAAAGTACCGCAGCGCTGAATACTGAAAAATGGCCTGGATGGGAAGGGGGTTTAACACCCCGGATGTCAACTGGTTAAATGGCTGTCATCCTGGCCATGTCAGGAGCAAGAGCAACACATAGCGCATGCGCTATTGGACTACGAGGGCGCGCACACTGCACAGAGGGCGAGCACGCAGGTGGGAGTTTACCGGTGTTCTAAAACACGTGTGCAAAAAGAGCGCAGGAAGCCGGTGAGAGCGGCGGAAGTAGGAAGGAACTGTGACTTCTTTCTCCACACACGTGTACTTAAGAAAAAAAAAACATCAGATGACAGCAGCGGAAGTAGGAAGAGAAGTGTGTACACTCTGACCATGGCGATCGTACCGCTGCTTGTAAACCTGGCCGGCTCTGTACTGGGAGGCCTGGCCACTGTCTTTCTCATCCCTGCCTTCAAGGAACACTTCATCTCGGCTAAGCTTTATGGGATCGACATGAACAAATCCAGCAGAGAGCCAGTGTAAGATCTGCAATGTTTACACACAATGACAGAGAGTCCTGGCATCTTACCTTGGTGCTCAGCTCTAGTCATACATTGTATATCAGCACACAACTTCCACATCGCTATATAGTATAGTCGATTGGTTGCCATGGGCAACTGATTCTGTCTTCTCCAGTTTTAATAAAGTCCCCCCAGTGTTCTCTGGGTTTTGTTATAGACTGAAAGACGATAAATAAATGTGTAATTGACAATTAGAACTTGTTTGGGCTCCTTCACTCCATGCACATTGACTAATGTTTTTCTGCACCAGAGCATCGCAGGTACATAGAGACAGTGGTTTGTATGTATGTGCCTCGTTCACACCACAACGCTGTGGAGATGTGTGTTGCAGTATGTTGTGTTAACATGCAGTGTGTATGCATTAACATGATGCACACAAATGCACGTAAATGTTAGTAATTATTTTGATCCTTCCAGGAAATAGGACTGCTAAACACTGGACAATGGCAATTCCTGCCAGCGTGCATGAAAATACATTTAATGTATGTAAAGATGCATGAATGTTGGAGGCATTGCAATGAGTTTTTGTGTGAAAGTGTCCTTACAGATACAATTACACTCAAAGTGTCTGAGACAAGTTCTCTCTCAACCGTTGTCCAAAGCAACCAAACAGCTTCTGTCTTCACTCTGCATTAGGGTAAAAACCGCCCAGTACCTGTCTTTGTACCCCTGTCCCCCCTCTTCCCTGCACATACCTGTGGTCGCTGTCACCTCCACCAGGTCCATAAAGATACTCTGCATTCCCGAACTATCCGGTTCTGGGGAGGATAGTGATGGCAATGGAGCGATTGGCTCCTTCTGCTGTCAATCATTCTGTTGAATGGAGGGAGCAGAAGCATGGCTTGCCACATGCTGTGTCTATGGATGGACACAGGTGCAGGAATGTGCACGTGAGGGTGTCTTCTCAATTGATGGAGAAACCCGCAAACAGGAGGAGTGGTTTGAGGACAAACTAGAGAACGAGGAAATACAAAGATTGAAAAAAGAACAATAGTGAATTTATACAAGTGTGGGCCTAATATTCATAAATAGAAAAAAAATGCACATTTTTTGTTACTATTTATATTACATATGCATTTTACAAATAAACAGCATGCCATGACATCACTGCCCCCTGTCCAATCGCAGCACACCTAGTATTCATTGATAAAAATGCCAGCCGTTCTCTGAATGGCCGCTGTTCCATGCGAGTGACCCGCTGTGTTTTGAGGGGGGGGGGAATTTGCTCAGCATAGTGACTGTACAAGCCCTGGAAGATGCTGTAAAGCATGGTCCCAGCTCTGTTAAGAAAATACACTTTTATTAAGTGTTTCTTTTGTATGTTTTTCAGATTCAAGCCTACACATTACACAAATTGCCCTTTTTCATTGTTTTGTATTCACTTCAATAAACCCATTTGTATGTTTTTGTTTCTTCAGCCCAGAGTCTCAAGGAGTGATCAGCGGGGCAGTGTTTCTGCTTATCCTTTTTTTCTTCATTCCCGTTCCCTTCTTGAGTTGTTTCATTGAAGAAAAGTGTAGAGAATTCCCACACCATGAGGTAATTTTATTTATTCACCTTGTACTCCTTTTTCAATTATACTGTATTTTATTGACGGTAAAACCTTTTGCTGCCACCAACGTATATGTCAGCGGGAGAAGGGCCCGTAAACAGACTCCAAGTCACTTCTACAGCCCACAGATGGTGTGCCCATTACTCTGCCAGACTACTCCTTCCATGTATCTTTGGCTTACTTGTCCCTCCTGGGTGCCCGGAATAACCATGGCGGGTGCCAGGATGTAGAGCAATGGGAGAAGAGCAAAAAAAGTTTGCTCCTCTGCCTGTGTAAAATGAAACCGGAAGCCTTACACCGCTGTCATTTGCTTGCGGCTATGGCCGAGGATCACGCTAGACGAGTATGATCTGTACGGAAATGATGATTGCGTCACATATATTAAGTATCACCGCGCACATCGGAGCAAGAGCAATAATTCCAGGGCCATCATTCACTGTTAACACTAAACTGATGTCCTGTGAAGGCTTTTAATGGTTGTCTGTGGACAATTTTGGGTACTGTTGTTTTTTGCCATTTCATGAGTGCACGCAGTTTTGGAGGGTTAACATGTTTGGTATTTATTGGCATCGTTTATATTTTATATAGTATAAAAAAATTGGGGATTATATAGTGTGTGTGTGTGTGTGTGTGTGTGTGTACCAAAATGTGTTTGATTTCTTTAACTGAAGATGTGGGTTTGATAAACAGTTGTGCTAATATCGTGTGAGAAAAAAAAAAATTGCAACTGGCACCATTTTATTGTATAGAGCCTCTGCTTTCAGAAAATATATCATTTTGGGGGTTTTAGGTAATCTTCAGGCCTAAAATGCAGAATTTATAATGTATGCCAAAACCCCCCATATATCCTGGCAGCGAAATGGGGGAAACATGATTACAAACTGCATGTTCTGTATGTAAAAGGTGAAGTGTAGCCCAGAGCAACCAATCAGTATTCACTTTTTAAATCTAGGTTTGTTTGCTGTCACTGACTACACATGGCAGATGAACTTTTCTTTTTTGTGTGATGCTCAATTGGATCATCTTGTATGTGTGGGTCTGCGTGAGCTCTTGGGAGAGTAAAATATACTCTTCCCAATAGTTCAAGCTGGTGTGTCACCCTGCAGCTCTCACATGCCACCTCTTTAGCTCGAGAACTGAGTGATCACAAACCGCTGATTGCTCAGCTCAAGGCTTTTCACTGCAGAGGGCAATGAATAATCACCTGCGATTATCGTACGATAATCGGCAGGTGTATGGGCACCTTAACACTTTCACTCAATAATAATTAGTTAAAACCCTTGTGGCTGATTAGCACCATTCACAAAACTATTCACTGAAATGTAATTACTAATAAGTAATATGTACTAATATTATAATAAAAATTATAGTAATTTAAAAAAATAGAGATATATTTATATATATTTTTTTTATGAGAGTTCATCACTACTTACTTACCGTACACTACAATGCACAAAAATAAAATAGGTTGTACATAATTCTTTGGATATCAATACTGTACTACTTTTCTTGCCATAAGTTTTCTGGTAGAAACCCCAGAAAACGTGTGCTAACCCCCCCATCTCTGAGATGAACTTTCTTTAATAGACAATTTGCACAGATATGTATCAATGATCTTACGGCAGAAACCTAGTGGAGAAATGATAGCACACTGCCTCTGATGTGAGTGTTGTTTATTTTATTACCTCATGCATCATTTTGACCTTTTTCTATTTCAAATTTTCATTTACAGTTTGTCGCTCTTATTGGGGCGCTACTTGCCATTTGCTGCATGATCTTTCTGGGATTTGCGGATGATGTCTTGAACCTGCGCTGGCGACACAAGTTGCTGCTGCCCACTGCAGCCTCGCTGCCACTTCTCATGGTCTACTTTATCACATTTGGTAACACTACCATTGTAGTACCCAAGCCATTCAGACCTCTTCTGGGGCTTCATGTGGATCTCGGTGAGTGAGCTTTATTCTGTTAAAGTGTAATTGTGTTTTGGCAGTACAAGAAATGGGATACATAAGCACATGACCAAGTATAGGACAGTGAACTTATCCTGACCGTGTGCTAACATCTAATTCTTGGATTCTAAGTGAATACAAATTATGAATTGGTGAACTTGAGGCCACTGCATATTTGTTTGGGGAACAAACATCTGTGAACCCCCTTGCAGACATTGCTTTACTTGTAGCTGATGTATACACGCACTATGTAATTATATGTTGCATATAATATAATAGCTGCCCAAACTGGAGCTTGTGGATTTTTTTAAAAGGAGAAACTTGCAGGCTGCCATTGAGCACACCTTCTGAAAATGTTACCCCCCTGGTTATCCTACTGACCCCTGGCTTTAAGTAAATGACCTGGAAGTTGCATGCAGAAAATCATCGCTCATTTTTATGAGATTTTCTGGACTTGCATATGTACTCCAGGTCCGCATTTTAAAAATGATTTAGAGAAGAACTCTGGGCAAATAAAATCTTAACCCTTGCACTGGGTCTACACCCGCACTGCAAGGGTTAAGTGCTCGTTTTGTCTAGGAAGATAAAATAGTAAAGTTCTACTCGCCCGAACCAAGATCCCGGCTGCCTCTCAGACCGGTCCCTTAAGCCTCGCCCGCTCTCTGCTCCAGTGGTCTATGGTCCAGTGAGTCATGTTCTATACAGTGTATAGAACGTGAGGATGCTGAGGGCCATTCCATCGCTGGAGCAGAGGAGGATTGATGGTTGGGTGAGTATAACACTGTTATTTTAGCTCCCTAGACCAAACGAGCACTTGACCCTTGCAGTGCGGGGGTAGCCCACTGCAAAAGTTAAGATTTTTTTTGTCAGGAATTTTTCTTTAAAACAGTGTGTCAGAATAGCACAAGCAACTATCAGGTCAGCAATGAATATATTATGAAGTTATAGAACTGTTGGTGACTACTAGTTCAAACCATAAAATGTTTTTTTGCATTGGAACTGCTCAAGGTAAAGCTGGCTTAACACCTTTTGCACTGCTGCAAAGCATTGTACGCCAGCATGCCCGCATTAGTTGCAGTGCCGTTTATGTTTAATTCCACCCCAATGCATGAAAGAAATGCTGTTTTTAGTCCTCAGCAACACCGGACTGAGCAGTTTAAATCATTAGAAGCAGTGCTGACTCCCCCAAGTGTATGGTGCAGAGGGCTCTGCAAATGCTAGAACAATCTAACCTGTCTGAATCAGATCTTGCATGGAACTGCAGAAAGACCTCATTAAAGGAAAAGACATATCAAGAAGGAAATGGCAGGGGGTCAGCTTGGCACCAAGATACAGCCATATTGTCAGACCTGTTTGTACAGAAAGAAATGTAATTTAGGAGAAGCCGTATTTATACCCCACAACATAGACAATTATTTTACAGACAACAGTGATGGTTTAAGTGTGGGATTGTAGCATGATGTGCCATATACCGAAATATTTTAGGTTTGTTTCTTTCTCAGTCTGTTATATTAAATGTTGATTATGTTTTTGTTTTCCTGCAGGTATTCTTTATTATGTTTACATGGGTATGCTAGCTGTCTTCTGTACCAATGCAATCAACATTCTGGCAGGAATTAATGGTCTTGAGGCTGGTCAATCTTTAATCATTGCTGGCTCTATAATTCTGTTTAACCTTGCAGAGCTTAATGGTGAGTCGTGTGTGTGTACTCTTATATATTTTTTATTTGATGTATCAACTTGTTCCTCATTGCTGCTCAAAGGCTGAATCCTATTTTGTTTGGTGGTTAAATAGTGTATCTGACGTGTTTATTTTTCTATCTAATAACTAGCCAAATGACATTGCATCTAAGGCTAGCTTCACACCTGCATGATCCGTGACTGCGCGGCATTCGTGCACAAAACCCCACGGACTGCTGAGCGGTCACGAAGTCACCCACCACAGCTGATCACGCTGGCAGTGCCATTATTTTCTAACGGCACCCCAGTCGCACAATTGAACACAGCTAAAAAAAACAAAAAGCTGCGCGTCATGTGTTGCCTTTTTTTCAGCAATTTGCCTCGCAGATGTAACCCCATTGAAATCAATGGGGCTGCGCGGCAACCGCTGTGTGCAACCGCTGTGCCGGGATCACTCCGATCTGAACCTAACCTAAACGTAAAGGTGGCAGAGAGTGGTCACCTATAGACACCTTTTTTCCACCTTTGTTGAAAATAGAACTAATTCCAACTTATCCAAATTGAAATAATTTATTTTGGATTGACATTGCCTACATTCTTCAAATTAAGGCCTAGGGTTGCACAGATACCAAGTACTGTACACGGTACAAGTACGAGTACATGTACCAATACTTTTGAGCTCCAAGACTAGACTAGAGAAAAATTCAAAAGTTAGGAAAAGGCCCATACAGTTCTTATCATGTGATACAAATGCAGCGTTTAATCCCCCACATGTGCTTTTCTGCCCTACCCTTTCTTAAGTGATTGTTGTAGGTTTTTTAACCTATTTATTAATGGTATCGGGGAGGGAGCGAGTAGCCATGTCTCAGTGTTTGCTGATTTGCTGATACGAAAATTGGGAGGGTAGTAGACACGGATTCAGACATTGTAACATTACAGGAGGACCTGGAGAAAATCAGGGAGTGGGCAACTGTATGGCAGAAAAAGTTCAATGTCGATAAATGTAAGGTAATGCACCTTGGAGTTAAAAATAGGCAAATGGATTATACACTTATGGGTGTGCCACTAGGGAAGTCGGAAACGGAGAAGGATTTGGGGTCATCATAGACCGTAGATTGAAGAACAGCTCGCAGTGCCAGGCTGCAGTAAGCAAAGCCAGTAGAGTCCTGTCTTGCATTAAGAAGGGAATGTATTGCAGGGACAAGTCTATCATTTTGCCTCTTTATAGATCACTGGTTCGGCCACATCTGGAGTATGCGGTCCAGTTTTGGTCACCAATACTCAGAAAGGATGTCCTTGAGCTGGAAAAAGTGGCAACCAAACTTATTAAGGGGTTCGAGGACCTGAACTATGAAAAAAGGTTGTTAAAATTAAATATGTTCTCTTTGGAGGTTAGGAGATTAAGGGGGGCATGATCTTCTTGTATAAACTACTCAAGGGTGACAGCAACATTATTAACAAACTGTTTACGGTCAGCTCTGTAACAAAGACCCGAGGGCACAACCAAAAATTGGTGGAAAATATTAAAAATTGTGGAATCATTCAAGAGACTCCTGGACGAGTTCCTCGGAGACCATAATATACAGGGGTACAGGTACGCCTAAGAGCAAAATCATAAATGGACTAATACACACGCACACACAAGCTCAAACATAAATGCATACACACAAAAGGTTGGACTTGATGGACTTATGTCTTTATTCAACCTCAAATACTATGTAACTATGAAGAATTCTTGTTTCTTACAGATGTTTTGTTCTTTTCTCTAATAGGTGATTGCCATGATGATCATCTCTTTTCACTTTACTTTCTTATTCCGTTTTTCTTCACCACCCTGGGATTGCTCTACCATAACTGGTAAGTTCTAGTCCTGAACCCGCACTGGATATCATGCTTTGGTTGAGAGCTTGGCCTTAATGTCACCACAGCTGATAATAATGGAAAGAGTTTGCTGCAACAGCGATTTAAATCATGTGCACTATGTTTTCCTTTAAGTTATTACACGGAAACCCTAAAGGTCTTGGGTTTGTTTAATTTTATCATAGGCAAGGTTTTCATAGGCTTATTAATTTACCTTTTGCCAGTGATTTTACCATGTACCGTATATACTCGAGTATAAGCCGTCCCGAATATAAGCCGAGGGTGGGAAATGAGGCAGCTACTGGTAGATAGATACCAATAAAATTACATTAATATTTATTTAAAAGAAAAATAACCTAGCTCTGTAAGTGGAAAAGGGGGTACAGGGCTACATACAGATCATTTAATACATTCATGTTAGTATCATTGTAAATGTATTGTCTGCACTGTATTAGCAGTATATACTCTACATAGAGTATATACTGCTAATACAGTGCAGACAATACATTTACAATGATCCTCTGCTAACATGAATGGGTTAAATGATCCGTAGTACATGATATGTAGCCCTGTACTATGGATCATTTAACCCATTCATGTTAGCAGAGGATCATTGTAAATGTATTGTCTGCACTGTATTAGCAGTATATACTCTACATAGAGTATATACTGCTAATACAGTGCAGACAATACATTTACAATGATCCTCTGCTAACATGAATGGGTTAAATGATCCGTAGTACATGATATGTAGCCCTGTACTATGGATCATTTAACCCATTCATGTTAGCAGAGGATCATTGTAAATGTATTGTCTGCACTGTATTAGCAGTATATACTCTACATAGAGTATATACTGCTAATACAGTGCAGACAATACATTTACAATGATCCTCTGCTAACATGAATGGGTTAAATGATCCGTAGTACATGATATGTAGCCCTGTACTATGGATCATTTAACCCATTCATGTTAGCAGAGGATCATTGTAAATGTATTGTCTGCACTGTATTAGCAGTATATACTCTACATAGAGTATATACTGCTAATACAGTGCAGACAATACATTTACAATGATCCTCTGCTAACATGAATGGGTTAAATGATCCGTAGTACATGATATGTAGCCCTGTACCCCCTTTTCCACTTACAGAGCTAGGTTATTTTTCTTTTAAATAAATATTAATGTAATTTTATTGGTATCTATCTACCAGTAGCTGCCTCATTTCCCACCCTCGGCTTATATTCGGGACGGCTTATACTCGAGTATATACGGTATATGTAAAAATGTATTTTATTTTTTATAAAGGTTGAAGTTAGTCAACTGCTTGCTGCATGATAGTTCAGGCACCTCTCAGTGCTTGCATGCACAGCTCTGCTGTAAATCACCCTGCTTGCCTTAAATTGACTCTGGTATGAGAAAAGTATGGGGAATGCCATTGTTGGTTGGCTCTCTTTTGAAAAATGCTAGTTGGCTGTAGGTTTCTAGCTTCAATACTTGAGTTATAGACCCGGTACTATCTCTTTACCTGTGCCAGGCTCCAGGTCAGGGACTCAGAGCACTGATGCCAAGTCTTTAGCATGGCAGCCAGAGAGCTAACATTCTCAAATGAGAGGTCAGCAATATCAGGCTATATACTGTTCTCATGTTGAAGTCACTTTAACTCTGGGCACTGTATGAAGGGTTGAGAAGAGTGAATGGGTCGCTTTCCAGCTAAATTACAGTAAACCCCTCTGTGCTCTGCTTACCTCCTATCGGCTACAGAGTGTGATGGATGGCCTGAATGGCCAATAGGGAAGCCAGGAAAGCAGAAAGAGGCTGATTTACATATTGAATAGTTTTTGTTTTTTTTCCTCCCATTTCCTTTTGCCCTTCAGTGCTTAAGGTAAGCAGAGTGCTTTACTGCAAAACTCACTGTGTGTGATCATGCAGTCAGATGTTGACTGTGGCTGTAAATAGGGATGCACCGATACCGGTATTTCGGTATCGACTACCGATATTTTTTTTCGGCACTCGCAGGATACCGAGTACCGCAAGTCGCATTCAGGAAGCCAGGCGGCGTGTAATGACTCGCTGCCCGATTAGCAGGGAAGCCTTCCCCATGTGACGAGAAAGCTTGGAGCCGGTTTTCTGGCCAATCGGGAAGCTGAGCGCCGTGTAATGATGTGACGCCCGGCTTCCTGATTGGCCGGGAGGCTGGCTCCATGCTCCCTCATCACCTAGGAGCATGGAGCTGGCTTCCCAGCCAATCTGGAAGCAGGCGGGCGGGTAATGACTCACCCCTG